TATTAAACAATTGTAAATTCATGCACTTGGGAGAATCTTGAGTTATTTTAACTCTAGATCTAGCATAGGAAACATATACATTTTGTGCATTTCTGGTACATTTCAATGAATATCAAAGACTCTCGCAAACTAAATTTGTTTAAAAATACATAGACACATAATTCAAATAATAAATTTTGTGCATTTCTGGTACATTTCAATGAATATCAAAGACTCTCGCAAACTAAATTTGTTTAAAAATACATAGACACATAATTCAAATATATAAAGAGAAATAATTGTTTAAATTTAAAATTTAATAAAATAAGGTTAATATGAAGTTGACTTGGACACGTATATTTCTCTTTTGGCAATAATAACTTGCTGTATTGACGTTAAGTTTCCCCAAAGGCAAATACCGTAACGTGGACGACAGTCAACCTGTTCATATATAGACATATTATAATAAAGACATCAAAAACTATCCTAATATTTCCAAACAAGTAATTAACACATATTACCTTACTTATCAAAGCATCACAATGTGATCAATAATTTTACAGCATTCTTTCCCCAATTTGCTCATTTTCAGCAAAAACGTTAATGAGTTTACATGCCCTTTGCCTATTATAAAATCTCACCATATGTATTTCTTTTTGGAGTATTAAACTATAAAAAGATTGTGAAAACAGGTATAAGCTAAATTAACAATATTAACTCCTGCCATAACTAGGGATGTGTCGTACGCATTAACCTACAGAATAAAGAGTACTAGGCCTAAAACAGAACCCTGTAGTACCCCTAAACATATATTCTCAGTAGGTACAATAGTTTACACTTTGTTCACTATTATCAGACACAAAAGGAAGACTGAAATAGTGTTTGCGGTAACTTAAGTAATTTGAAATCCATTGAAAATCTCAAATACCGTAAGATTTCAACTTTTTACATACAATTTTATAATCAATACAGTCAAATACCCTGCTTAAATCACAAAAGATCCCAACAAGGCACCTGTCAGCCTCAATTTGTACAACAAGGTCATCATAAAAATACATAGCAGCAGTAGGTAGTATTAAAGAAGTTACTTCTAAAGCCATGTTGACTATTAAAAATTATTTTATGGTTGAACAAAAAATTAATAAAACGATCCAAATAACAATAACAATATTGGGGCATTTCACGTGAAGTGGACAGCGAAAAAAAAGTGACGTTCTGAAATTTGTTCATATTCGGCTTAATTGTACTTATAGTAGGTATGAATGTGGACACACAATTTTTTTTTTGTATGATGTTTAATTGTAAAGTTATTGGCTTCTAAAGAATTGTCGTTATTGAAATTCGTATTTTTTGGAAATAGTTTTTCGAATTAAAAAAAATTATTTTAAAATATTAAATATGGCGACTTAAATAGAAAATTTACTGTTCTTTTTAAATACAACATAAGACGGGCTTTTTTATTTTTTTTTTAATATACAAAACCGGAAATAAACTTTTCAAATCAGAATTTTAGTAACTTCGACCAATTTTTTTTATTTTTTTTTTATTTCAAAATATAGCCTAAAGTACATTTATAATACACCAGAAGTTTCAAAATGGGATCTGCAATAGTTTAGGAGATAAATGAATTAATGTACATACGTGCCGCACTGAGCGTCGTACTCTTTCTGGTTTGCGCGAAATTACACTAAACCGCTGCAATATTTATATTTACTTTCCTATTTAAGCGTATTTAAAGCTTTAACAATGTTGTGGTGTATTTATTATTCAAATTAAAATAGTACTTATTAAACAAAAATATTAGCAGGAAGCAGTAGTCTAAAACAAATTTTGTGATAAGTAATAAAAAGCCATATACTTACCAGTAAGTATGTGTAAAAAGTGACTGCTAGCGCCATCTCTAAGATACGAAAAGTATTAAAATGACAAATAGAAGCTAAGCCATTTCGTATTTTTCGTTATTTCTGTAGTTGTTGTTTTAATCTCTCAGTAAATTGTGCACATTTTAAGAAAGTTATTGATTTATAATTGCTCCGTACGGTGATCGATGTTTTAATCCATTTCGCTTGGTACTTCATCGAAAGTTTAAAAATTTAAGGAAAATATCTGAACATTTGGCTCAAAAGTGTCTCCACTTCACTCGATGTTTATGTATGTGCATCTTGTAGGAAAAGGCTCTTAAATGAAACACCTCCAGTACCAATTAATGAAGATATTTTACAGTGCAGTCAAACATCGAGTGAACCTTCGCAAAACACCCAAGATGAACCGTTCATTCCTGAAGATAAGTTTAAACATAATTCAACTCAAACTGAAACAGTTCTAGAAAACCAAGAAATTTTAAAGCAACTAAAAGAAAAATTTAATGATCCGTCTACTTCAAATTCTATGAAGACTATGATACTGACTATAGTCAATAGTCAATATATTGCGCCTAAGTCATGGAGTGAAAATAAACTTGCGGAAGAATTTGGCACATCTAGACGGCAAGCGAGAAAAGCAAAGCAACTTGTAGATCGATTCGGTGTCTTGTCATCTCCAAACCCACGTGGTGGCCGTAAACTACCAATTGAGACCGAAAACTTAGTTAAATGTTTTTACCTCCGAGAAGATATTAGCCGAATATTGCCTGGTAAAAAAGATTTTATATCTGTTAAATTAGATAATGGCAAAAGAACGCATCTACAAAAACAACTTCTAATGTGCAACATTGATGAACTTTATCAGAAGTTCAAAGACGAATATTCGAACATTCAGGTAGGCTTAACAAAGTTTTTTACTCTAAGACCCAAGCAATGTATCCTCGCTGGCGACTCTGGAACACATATGGTATGTGTTTGTACCTACCATCAAAATGTTAAGCTGATGTTAAATGGAGGAGATATTGCCAATCTTACTGCTGGAACTGCCATGCCACTTACATCTTATAAAGATTGCCTTCGCAAGATGATGTGTCTCAATCCAACACCAACATGTCATTTGATGACTACAAAAACACCGTCAAATGAATGTTGTAAATCTTGTCCTGGTTTAAGTGCAATTTGTGAAAATTTGAAAATCATATTTGATAATAATCAAGTGACGGACGTGCAGTTTGAAAAATGGGTTGGAACAGATCGCTTCACAATATCTACTGCTGTCTTCTGATGATTTTGTGGATAGCTTGTGTGACGCTTTGGATACATTGAAACCTCATGCCTATATTGCAGAGGAACAGGCGTTGTATTTTAAAACTCTTAAGGAGACTATCGTTGAAGGCGAAATCCTCGTGCAATGTGATTTTGCCGAAAATTATAGTTTTGTTGTCCAAGATGCTGTTCAATCTTTTCATTGGAATAATGAACAGGCAACACTTCTGACATCGGTTTTTTATTATAGAGATGGAAATGAAATAAAACATGGCAGCATTGTTATGATTTCAGATGACTTAAAGCATGATACAGCCACCTTCTACGCTTTTCAAAAAATACTGCACGAGCATCTTTTAGGAAAAGCAATCAATGTTTCTAAAATTATATATGGAACTGACGGGGCCTCATAACATTTTAAAAATAGATTTAACTTTGTGAATCTATTTTATTACAAAGAGGATTTCAATGCCGATGCAGAGATACATTTTCACGCAACGTCTCACGGAAAAGGATCGTGCGATGGGCTTGGAGGAAACCTCAAGCGTTTAGCAACGCGTGCAAGCCTACAGTTGCCTGCAAGTAACGCAATCGTTACACCAATGCGATTATACGAATGGGCAAAATCTTTAAAACAGACAGCCATTTACTACTGCTCCAAAGACAATATTCAACGTCATAGAATTTTTTTGCAGCCCCGGTTCGATTCAGCAATCACCATTCCTGGAACAAAAAAGTTGCACGCCTTTATTCCAACAACCGAAGGCCTTTTGGTAAAAAGAACCAGTTCTAGCGTAGATTATAAAATTGTAACTTTTTTTAAATAAAATAGCTACTTTCCTCCTTTGTTACAATATTGTCTCATTATGTTATTATTATGACAGCACAGCTATTTTAGTAAGTATAATTTTTTTCCGGCTTAAGGAAGGCCAGGTACTAAGCTCAGTGCGACACGTATGTACTTTAATTTATTTATCTCCTAAACTATTGCAGATCCCATTTTGAAACTTCTGGTGTATAATAAATGTACTTTAGGCTATATTTTGAAAAAAAATAAAAAAAAATTGGTCGAAGTTACTAAAATTATGATTTGAAAAGTTTATTTCCGGTTTTGTATATTAAAAAAAATAAAAAATCGAGTTTTATTTTGTATTAAAAAAGAACAGTAAATTTTCTATTTAAGTCGCCATATTTTATATTTTAAAATAATTTTTTTTAATTCGAAAAACTATTTCCAAAAAATACGAATTTCAATAACGACAATAACTTTACAATTAAACATCATACAAAAAAAATATTGTGTGTCCACATTCATACTATAAGTACAATTAAGCCGAATATGAACAAATTTCAGAACGTCACTGTTTTTTCGCTGCCCACTTCACGTGAAATGTATTTACTCAAACATTTTGGAAAAACTTATCGGAATTGTTACTGGCCGATAGTTATTTACGTCATCTCTATTACTCTTTTTAAAAACTGATAAACTTTTAAAACATTTGGAAAAACTTAATCTTAAAATGTGATTTATTTATCATGAAATTTATAACAATAGGTAGCTTAAATTTTTATTTATAGCTTAAGTGGCATACTATCTTAAAATTTTAAAATTTAAATTAGTACTGGTACTAATTCAAATATTATTATTATTATTATTTTAATATTATATAACATTTTTAAATTCTTTTTGTAGGGCTTCATCCAAATGTTTGAAATCTAAAAATAATAATATTGAAAATAATATTCCATTACCTTAAAATATGAAAATACTCATAAATTTAATTTTACGATTATTCTTATGTCATTAATGTTTTTTTATAATAATTATATACTTTATAAAATGTAATTTATTTAAGCACTGACAGTTTTTCTTATAAGTACTTTTCTTTTTAGCAACATGTATGGGAGAAATTTCAGTGACGCCCACGACGCCACCCCACCGCGGCGCCGCCCGGCTAAAATACGGCTCGGGGTCCCTTAGACCCCCGGGCACCAAACCAATATTCGCCACAGGTCAAAGAGACCATGGCGTCAGAACCACACTAAGTCCAACCATGAATAACCCGACGATTTTACATCAGTATCCGATCGTACCCTTTCCGATACCATTTGATGAATACGAGCGTATTCCGGGCGGATATCCGATTTATCCGGATATTATTCCAAGGGTATATGGGTTGCCGCCAAGAAGTGACAGAAACAGAGGTACTGTAAATTATATAAGTTTTGTTTGTAAGTATAAATTAGGATATTTACTGAAAAATTAATTAATAAATTTACGAATTATAATGAATATTGTAACGATTTTGTGGTTCGACAGTGTGAATAAAACACGCTCTGGTTTATTAACGAACTAAATGATTTATTTTATAATTTAATTACAATTTAAAACACTAAAGACCCATAAAATATAAATAAAATTAACTAATCACTTAACTACTAATTAGTTATATACTCTCTAAAAATGAATTAGTCAAAAATGACTAATTTAATGGTTATTAGTGGCTGCTTTTTCACTTGAACCATGTTAAGCATGGAATACCATGGTATCCCGAAATTTAACAGCCAATTATTATGTAATATGGTCCCCTGAATCCGATTATACCTTAAAAAATTATGAAAGTGGAGCAGTTTTTGAGATATAGTCAATTCCATATTAAATGGAAAATTGACTATTTCTCAAAAACTGTTGTACTTTTTTAACTTTTGACGACATTTTCGGATTCAGGGGACAACTTTACATAAGAATTGGCTGTTAAATTTTGGGATACCATGGTATTCCATGGTTAACCATGATACAAGTTAAAAAGCAGCCACTAATAACTATTAAATTAGTCATTTTTGACTAATTCATTTTTAGAGAGTATGACTACTGTACAATAGTGGTCGCGAGTACCAAAGATTGACTGACTGCTTGATGCTCCGCTGTGCCTTATATATGCAGGGCGTACGTGACCTACTTCACGCAAGCACCTTCCCGAACCTTCCAGTAAATTCCACACCGCTCTCGATCATTCGATATCGTGCTGACTCATCGCCAATAAGTCACCAAGATTCCGAGATTAAGAGCGGTGCTCGCTACAATATTATACATTTATGTGCTACGGACCAAGACGATAATTCGACATTGACTATTATGGCAGATCAGTGATGTCTATTTTTCTGGCCAATATCAGTAATGTCCGTGTATTGACGTTATGGCCCGTTGAAGGTGGGCAGTGCTGTTAATATTTTCATGTTAACATCATTGCCGGTCATTAACGATAATGGCTTGGGAAAGCGGATAACGTACAGCCACGTCTAGCTAAGCCCCTATTACAGTCTGCAATTTCTTGCAGCAACTTTCTTGCATGCAAGTTTTATTGCTGACTGTAAAACACTTTGCAATTCCAACCGAACTGGCAATAAAAATCGAATAAAAATGTCGCTATGCGCATGCCTTCGTGCAAGAAAGTTGCATGCAAGAAAGTTGCTGCAAGTATTTGCAGACTGTAATACGGGCTCTAGAGACGTGGCCCATCGATGCGCAGATGCCAGCTCTTAAAATCGTCATTTGCATTGAGTTTGCCTTAGGATAAAGAACGCTCAGCACAGTGTAATAAAATGAAAGTAAATCAAGTATAAAAAATTTATTAAAATTTATTAAATTTAATATCCTGTTATTTATTAAATAATTTTTTTTTCTACAACGGATCAAATTCGTCCGAACTGTTGTCTTCGCTGGTTACCTCGCTGTCACTGTCCTCTTGAAAATTAATAATTAAATCATCCACGACTAAATCCAAAGCCGGTTCTTTCTCCATAAAATAATTTTCAAACTTTATAGCGTGCTGACATCACTTGGAATTATTTTTATGCTACTTAGGCTAACACCAGTGGCTAATGCAGCACGCTCACGGATAGGGTCGTTTTGTGCAGCTTCTCTCTGCATAAAGTAAATGACATTAGCTATCACCTGTCTAGGTCGACCTGACAAAACTTTACACTTTAATTTTGATTTAAAATCCATTATCAATAAAAGCGGCTACTCACTACTAGACTCTTTAAAAATAATTGTCAATTTACCATCATTTTTTAATACTTATACTTATACTTATACCTATATACCTATATACCTATATTCATATATACCTATATACCTATATACCTATATACATATATACCTATATACCTATATCAATAAAAACGTACCTAACCCTAACACAAATTTTCAAAAGGATTATAACCTATTTTTATTTGCATTATTGTTACCTCTTTTAAACACACCTTAACTTTATAAGAAATTCTTGTTTACCTTAAATACATATACCTAATTCTATTGTAATCTAATTGTATAAATAAATCAAAAATTTACTATTTTTTACTCTTAAATAACTTTAATAATGTTGATATAAACCTTTATTAGTCCTCTGTGAGGCCGAAATCGGCCGTATCATCCATCTCTTTTCTTCCGAATGCGTTCTCTCTTTAAAGTTTTGCACACACTGCAGGTTTTAAAAGTCTCTATAGATCTAGATCTAGCTAGATTTTTCGAGTTGTACCACACTGAACTTTTAACTGTAATACGTTTAATTTAACTTAAAAAACAATCGTGCAATTTTGCCTAAATGCAGCCGGTGGCTCTTTAGCCTCAGCAATTCGGTTTGTATAACAACCGAATGCACACATTCTTTAACGTTTAAAAACGATTCTTTGTTATCGTATTTGGTTTCTATGAAAACGTTTATATTTTCAGTAGGTAAATCGACGGCGCATTTCATCATAATCCACGAATTTGATTTATTAACAATATATAACTAATAAAAATCCCACAATCTGTACCCCAAAAGACAAACAAATCAAATGGGTACCTACCTCTAATTAGGTACCAATGTTTGTATTTGTGTAACCTAACCTAACTAAGTTGCGTATCCAAGCAGAAGTGGGCCTCGGTGCAAATTATACTTGTGGCCTCTTTACAGGCTGTCCCACTTAAAGATGACTCCCTCACTATTGTCCTTATTCTCAGAATATTTTTATCGGTTAAAAACTATTCTTGAATAGTGTTTGATGATTTTTTGAATATAAGATCAGATCTTCTTTATCTGAAAAAAATGTCAATGAAATGCTCTATATATTTTTTACAGTTCGATAAATTAAAAATATACCGTATTTTCATTTGAAATATATACACTCTATATTGTAAGCGGGTTGCCGTAAGCGACGATTCAGTTTTAATATAAATTAATTTCTTTTCTTTAAAATTATAAGTTATAATATCCTACACATTGAGTAAGATCACCTCAAGTGGACCCTCCATTTCCCACTTGATCGTGGAATTCAAATATATATTTTAATATAAAGTAGTCACCATCAATAATGAAACCCTAAAACAGTTTTTTTTAAATTTTCATTTTAACAGCAATTTTTTTACAATGAAATTTTAGGAGACTTTTAATTAAAAAATAGATTACAGAAAAACCGTTACAGATATTTTATTATCATATTTTTAATTAACTTTTAAATAAACAAATGACTTCTCCCTCAAATTATAAATTTGTTTTATTTCAGTATGCTTTGTACACTTTAGTTAAATATTCTGCAATAAAATTCCACTGCCCGCTATTAGTTTAAACAATATGAATTTATTTATCCCCTAGCGCGAGCCATTTCGGTAAAGCGCGCTACCGCGCACCGTAGACTCGGCATCCGCTCCAATCAATATTAAAATAATAATAAACTGTCGTTTACAATAGAAAACACTGTTATTTCACAAATTTTTTTTTTTTAATGTAATAATTAAAACAAATAGATATTATATTTGTTTTTAAATATAAATAAAGACTGTAAAAATGAACAAATAATTAAATGAAACATAAATGTCCCAAGGCGGGTTATATACGTTTATATATATATTTATATATATATATATATATATATATATATATATATATATATATATATATATAATTTTAATTTTTTAAAATGTCAATTTTTTTACGCAAACTGGAGAGATACTCAAGATACAAAGTCACCTCCGAATTTATATATAATTTCGGAGAAACAAACAGCCTTGTATCCTCCGACAGTGTTGCCGGATTTTCGGAGGTCGCAACGTATCTTTAGTATCTGGGATATATATCAGATTTATTTTGTCCACTGCTTCGTGCTATATGTGCCATACATTATTTAGTAATAATAATAATTATTATTATTTTTGTTATAAAAGACAAAATATTAAAAATAATAAAAATGGAGTTCTTTGAAATAAATAATTTATTTGATTTAAAAAAGAACGTATTGGTATATGATAGGTCTTGCAGGTATAATGGCAAAAAAAAAATGTTTTATTACATAAAATCTTTATTTATCGTGCGATTTTTACCAGATTTGTTTTAAAGGTAAAATCTCGATAAACTGTATTTTTGAAGCAAAAACGCCATATTTTTACTAAATAAAAGGCCTACTATGTCAGTTTTTAAGAGTTAATTTTTAAGAATTCATATTAGCGATTTTTTTAAACAAAATCTAAGCACGGCACTGGATTCACCACCCCTCAAAATGACCTTATACTAAATTATATTAAAAATGTAAATAGAAAAATATGGAGAAATAATAACTACAAAAATTTATTTTGTCAAGTTATACATAAAAGAAATATTGAAATAAAATTAAACTAATAGTATAACATGGTATACTTATTATAACTTTAATTTTATTTCAATGTTTTTTTCATGGATAACGACGATAAATTTTTGTAGTTATTGTGCATTTTTCTACTTAAATTTTTTTAATAAAGTTTAGTAAAGGGTCGTTTTGAGGGGGTGGTGAATCCAGTGCCGTGCTTAGATTTTGTTTAAAAAAATCGCTAATATAAATTCTTAAAAAATTACTCTTAAACACTGACATAGTAGGCCTTGCATTTTGTACAAATATGGCGTTTTTTGCTCCAAATATACAGTTTATCAAGATCTACACCTTAAAACAAATCCGGTTAAAATCGCACAATAATTAATGATTTTACAGGGGTGAGTTGTAAAAAAAATGGGTCACATTGTATATGTACTGTTTTGCTTGCAAGTAGTTTTTTAAAAACTTTTCAAACCGATTGACTTTTGAAAGAATTATTAATATTATTATTATCAATAAGTTTTGTTATTTTAAAATTTATTAGTAGATATTATTATTATTTTTAATATTTCAATTGTATTTTTGTATTATTTTTA